TTCTATTCCTTACATGCTTAAAACAAAAGTTACTTGTTACTCTTAGCTTCAGTTTATTGTTTATAAACAGTGTTTCCCATTAATGAGTGAGACTGTGGCGGCCCGCCACTGTCTTATATAGACAGAGAGAGAGATGATCAGTGGCGGTTCACTCCCCAGGCGAGACCCACTCCAAGTGCCAGTTATGTTTTTTCCAAGCGCGCGTCCCGCCCTCCTTTATAAAGATGCCGCCCTGGCTGCCCGGTCGCCCGTGCAGTGTTGCCAACTCAGCGACTTTGTCGCTATATTTAGAGACTTTTCAGACCCCTCGCGCGCCGGACTGGAGTTGTGATAGGCAGCCCGGGCCACAGGTGGCTACGCTCTACCCCTTCTAGTCATTCTAGCTAATCTGAATCATTCAATTTCATCTGGAGAGCGAGTTCATCTGTGGTAGCAGCACTAGACATCTTCCAGGCATGTGAGAAAAACTAGCAGCAGTTCAGCGGACAGGAAGAATTATGAATGAGAGACTATCCCACCAAAAAAGATGAAGATTGAAATGTCTGAAAGGTCGGACACAGGCGAGAGCGTATGGAGATGGAAACCAACAAGACCTCCCTCATCCTACAGCCATTTCTCAAAAAATTTTCCGAAATAGTCGAAAAATGTAGTTTTCAATTCATATAGTGGCATCTGACTGTTTCTTTTTAAAGGTTACTTTTTCACTTTTACTTGAGTAAAGAGGTAGAGTTGATACTTCAACTTTTACCAGTGTTTTTAAACTGCAGTATCTATACTTCTACATAAGTAACAAATGTGTACTTTTGACACCACTGGTTTCATCTGACCAGAGCATCTTCTTCCACATGTTTGCTATGTCTTCCATGTGGCAAACTTTAAAAAATGCTTTTTAAGGATATCTTTAAGAAATGGCTTTCTTCCAAGAAGGAAAGATTTGACAAGTATATGCATGACTGTTTTCCTAAGGACAGAGTCTCCTCCTTCAGCTGTAGATCTATGCAGTTCATCCAGTGATCATGGGCCTCTTGGCTGCATCTACAATCAGTCTTCTCTATACTAAAGTAGTTAACAATTATTTCAATAATCAATTAATCAATATTAATCTGATTGGTTCAGCCCTTCCAAAAAGTTAAAAATAAACAAAAACTGACATTTTGTAAATTTAAATAATTTAAGATCATTAAGATTATTTATCTCACCTGTATAAATACTAAAAATGCTAATTACCACACAATATTTGAAACTAAAATCAAAGACATAATAAATGTCCATTAAACAGCTGGTTATCTCTTCCTCCATCATTCTGAGATCATGCAGATCTTGTCTCCTGTTACAAATCCCTATTTTTTCATGAGAAACTCTCATCCAAGCCGAGTAGTAGAAAAGCACAGCTTGGCCTGGAAGCCTATGCTTATAATCACAACCATAAACAGGCAAAGCAACTTATAATAACTATACTTTTAATAACTAACCACCTGAAAGTATAAATTACAACATGCTCTCACGCTCATTCTACCTTAATTATGGTAGAACATACATAATTTCCCCCTCATTCATAAAATGGTAAAAATCTGGGCCATTTCCAGGGACAGCTTAAGCTGAGGACAGGAGGTCCACAACGAGGGCTGTCCCAGGATATAGGGGACGTCAGGATATAGGGGACGTCTGGTCACCAAATCTTTAAGGGCACCAGCCAGAGAGGATGACTGAAGTCAAAGCTAGTTTTTTATTATAAAGGTAAAAGAAAAACTCTGGTTTCTCAAAAAGTTCTGACAGAACACTATCCAGTTTGTAAATAAAACCATATACAAATTACCTTGCAAGCAATAAATAGGCAACTAAAACCTTAAACCCACAAATAAACCCACAATTAACAGGACATTTTCTTATGACAATTGCTTTGGATCTATTGGATCTATTGCTATTACAATTTTTTTTAATAAACCAAGAAGTCATCACTCATCAAACTAATCTTAATCTTGCCAGCTCCAATATTGTGTTATGCTAGTTATGGTAACTCCTTGTCCTTAAAAATGAGAGGATATCAATAAAACCACATCACACTGTTTCATTGCAAATAGCTGAATGTCTTTTTCTAACATTTTACGGTTGCAAAAGTAACCATCTGTATGAACAAAACAGCTATTACAAGTTATTTACCTGGTATTTATTTTTTACCATTAAAAGAAAGATTTTTTTATTCTAGAATATCTCTAAAATGTTAGATCCCAGGACCTAAAACCCATCAGACATTTTAAGTCAATCTTGGGATTCTTGACTTTTTACAGATTTAAGTAAAAAATCTAAGTTTATCTCAAAATGCTGTGACCTGTTTGACTTTTACTACAATGGAGTATAAGGGCCAGACTAAAAACAAATTATAATAAAATAATCAGAATAAAGTTTCCCCTATTTTTTTTTGTATATTTCTCTCGTAATATTATCCCAAAAAAAAAGTTTTAATACAATAAGATCAAAGTGTTAATAGTACAACTTTATTCTGGTAATATCACAATAATAAAGTCACAATATTTTTAGGACTAAGTCATGATAGAATAAAGTCGCCAGATCGTTTCAGAAAAGACATCTTCAAACAATATCTGACCAACACAGTCAAACTACAAACCACCAAATGTAAGCTCCGTTTACGTTGTCATAATAATAATTTGATGCTAGTGGTCTAAAAGGTTTAATATTTCCTTATTTGTAAAACTAATATGAAAGTATAACTTCACAGGATTCTCAGCAGTCCTCATTTCACTGCAGGGGATGAGTTCTCATTAAATAATATGGACTTTTTTCTTGTAATATTATTATATTCATATCGTAATATTCTGACTTCATTGTGTTAATATTACCAGTTTATTCTCGTACTATAACGACTTTACAATATTATGACTTTATTTTCGTAATTCTAATTTATTCTCATACAGAGGTGTCAAGTAATGAAGTACAAATACTCTGTTACTGTACTTAAGTACTAGCCTGATAAACCAGACTAAATGTGAGATTAATCCGTGTATGGTTCGCTCTTTGGTTTTTTTGTTTCAAAACAAAAACGAAAAAACAAAACAAAAATGTTTTTTTTTTTTCGTTTTTCCGTTTTTAAAACGAAATTAGAAAAACGGCATTTGCAAAAATGAAAAAAGGGTACGTTTTGGGATTTTTTTAACTGCAATGGTTAAACCAAAGACAGAACTTTTATTTTGTTGTTAATTCAACCTTATGGCAGAACTGGAAATGAAGACCTGAACTCCCAAAACATAACTTTTTTTAGTTACCAGTAGGTGGCGGTAATGTACGCCTTCAATTTCTTGCCAACCGCCATTACAATCCACAAGAAGAATAACTTTTTCAGTTAGCACTACCAAAATGGAAACGTTTAGCTCTGTTTGAAATCCTGGGCTGCATCCTCCAAAGACACGGTCTACCTAGACCTGGATCCTACCTAGACTCGTCCGTGAAAATAAGGAGACAGAAGTGTTTTGGCCGTGAATTCGAACAGGTCTACCCTTCGGGGGGTTTTACCACCGTATGCTCTGTTGCTTAGCAACCGTGAAAGTTGACACACACAGCAAGAAAAGAATGAAAGCCGAAGTTTTCAAAACTGTTCATCAAAATTTTCATTTAGATGGCAAAACAAAACTCATACGCTGTTGATTTTCTATTAGTTTGATTTTTCATTTTTTCGGTTTAGGTTTTAAAAAATGGAAAAACAGAAAACCCACATGCTTGTTTTGTTTTTTCGTTTTTGTTTTGAAACGAAAAAAAAAAACAAAGAACGAACCATACATGGATTAAGATTAAATGTGTAATTTAGTCTGGCCCCGATCGGAATATTGTTGATGAGAACAAACTTGTTGTTTTACAAACCATGTCTGTGCCTATTGGCCAACGCTCTGACCAATGAGCGTAACTGACTGTAACGTAGTAAGCCTGACAGAAAGCTGGTGGGGGGGGGTAAACAAACAGCCTTTCCGTAAAACGATAAATACGTCCTTCTTATAAATGAATGTGCGTAAAGCCTTCTACTGCTCACGTTTAAACGAAAAACCCAAGTCTAATCCTTCCAAAACCGATTTCAAAGCTGAGTAAAAAATCGCCATCAGAGCCAGCGGTCCTTCACACATGGCTATGCAGAGAGAGGGCCACTGCAGATGGGCTACGGTTAGCCCTGGCTAGCCTCGGAGCTCCGCTGGTTGCCACGGTCCTCTCAACTTTGGAAATAGTTTTTTAAATTACGCATTAAATTGGTGAATGGACCATATAGTGACGCTTTAAAGTATAATATTCTTGCCTCAAATGACAACAGCAACAGAAAAGAGAACTTTTATCTTTCAATGGAGCGATCCATTGAATGCTGCTGCTGCTGCAGTGCTAGCTACTGTTCAATAGCTGTTGCCATCTTCCTCGTTGCGCTTTCTCCAGCGTCATGCAGCTTTTTCGTCACGCCCTCAAAACCCCCGCCTACTTTGCATCCAGAAGTTCAAAACACATCTCTGTGTTGTGATTGGCCTGCCAGTTCTAGGGCTTGGGGCATTGATCGAGGCTAGATCAATCGCAGGCAAAAATGATTTTGGGCGCTGGCGGGTGGGGCTAGTTTACTAGGCTATAAAAATTGGGGTTGTTAATTCATATAGTGGTATCAGGCTGTTTTTTAAAGGTTACTTTATACCTTAAGTAGTTTTTGGAGCACAATACTTTTCCACTTTTACTTGAGTAAAGAGGTCAAGCTGATACTTCAACTTTTACCAGAGTGTTTTTAAACTGCAGTATATATACTTCTACTTAAGTAACAAATGTGTGTACTTTTGACACCACTGTTCTCATAATACTACAAACTATCAAAAACAATATTCTCTTTAGTCTGGCCCTAATACTCTATAGTACTTTTACAGATAATTTTGCTGCCATTTTAAATTTATATCAATATTCTTTCGGGCGTAAAATTAGTTTTTGATACAACTTTAAAGGATGTGTTTCAGCATGAAGGCCTTTTTAAATGTAGATACTGTTGAGAGTTGCTCTGCTTTCCTGGTGACTCATCGCTGTTGACAGAGTGGTGGATTGAAGAGGAAACAGGCTGAAGGTCAGCGCTGTGCTAACATAACAACCTGAGAGCAAAAATGAAACTATGGAAACAGCTCTTCCCACTGAGGGAGGACGTGATCAACTCCTGTCTGCGACGTTACACCGTCAAACATGACTAAAAAACTATGTGGACTCTGTTTGTTTTATATATCACCACCAATCTGCTACCTGCAACTTCTTTTCTCTGATGCTTTCTGACAGCCAGTTGCAAATGAATCAGAAATTGTGAACATTACACGAGTTCTAATGCTCAAAAATACGAAGTTAATGTTTCTGGCGATTTTATTGGGCATAATTTTTGCAACAAACATCAGTAACATACAGCAAATCTAAGACAGAGGATAAGAATATCAAACATTATAAAGCTACTGGCGTGTTACGCCTGTTAAAAAGGGGCTAAAATGTAGCTAACCGTGGTTAAAAGAAAGCTAAACCTGAGCTTTAAAAATGCTCTACGGGTGTTAGCCTCTTATAAATGGCTAATAAGCTCCGCATGCTAATGTTAGCTTTCTCGAATTCCTTTCTTTTTAAACGACTTCCATTTAAACTGAACCAAACGGGAAGAGACCACTCGTCAATAGGATTAACACACTTAATAAAACAAAACAAAATACCTGCTGGCGGTAGCTGCACGTCTGTCCAGGTGACGATTGTTTTTTTTTTTTTCTTCTTTTTTCGTCTGTTAATATAAATAAGCAATGACGTCTACACTTCCTTTTTCAGAGTAAAAGCACCAAATAGGCCATAATTGAAGCATAACAGAGAGAGGCGAGGCAGAGAGCATACCTAGACGCTGAAGAGATGTAGACGTATGATTTGACGCCGCCCCCGGAACTATGGCAGGCGGTACTGACATTTATTAGTTTGACGATTAAAATAAGAATCTGTTATTATTAACATCTTATTAGCTCCCATAAACAGTTCTAAAATCGCTCATTTATACATATCATATATAGTATATACAGGGAACACATTAAAGTCGTAGGGAATTCATATTTAAATGTCAAATCATTCTGGCCTAAACATGTATATAAATGTACTCTTTGTCAGACTATATCATCCCAAAAGTTTGAACATATCTATTAAAAAAAAGAAACATTTCTATTTAAAAAAAAAAAAAAAATTGTGGGGTTTTATTCATTATTTTATAC